AAAAAAAATGGAACGGAACACAACAAAACAAGAAATTCAACAACTCAAACAACAATTGTAACACACAAATCCATTCACTATTCTTATAAAATTCGAATATTCTTTCATCCTACTTCAAAATCTCATAAGACTCAAAAACATCGAATACATTCATACTTTAATAATAATAATGGATTTTAAATACTAATAACAAATGAATTAAGTTTCCAAAGAAAAATATTAAGCAATTATAGTAGAAAATGAATACAGTTGAAATTCAAAAAATAAATCCGGAACAAAAACCAATTGACATATACCACAAACGAAAAATCTGTACAAATCCAATGAAATCGATAAATAGGACAATTATGATAACACTGGCAAAATCTATTAAAGAAACGTGATAAGAACACTATCAATGATAATGATAATAATAATTTTAATAAAAACAATAATATTCATGACGAGAATAAAAGCAGTACAGATAATAAGAGCGATATACCCATTATGAGCCATTAACTAGACAGATAAAATAAAATACAATTGAAACAATTTGAATCTATTACTGATTTGAAGCAACTGAAATCAGTAATTGATAATGATTAATGAATATGCAAACTGCACACTGTTTTGGTGATAAAACAATAACGGAACTAAAATATTTCACCGAGAACAAAAATATATCGAAGAATGATTTTAGCATATTCAGAGAAACAATTCTAGATTACAGAACGAACAATATCTCATATCCATTGATATTTCAACACATATATCCATCCAAATGAATTAATCCAAAACAATTCTTTCGAATCAAACAAATTATCTACAATCTTCGACTTCATCACATACTCCCTGAACATTTTATATTAGAAAGAAAGTATTGTCGAGAAATCAAAGCCCCATTGAGTTCACTGAATCTCTAAATCTTTAGAATATTCATTCGCTTCTACCGCTCTATGCATTATCTCTAAACGAACTCCTCGTTATACCGGTATAAGAATGTTACATTGATATTATTTCAAAACACAAAACAACACTAACAGCGATCATATACAACAATGAAACAATTTTACGGAAAATTATCGAAGAAATTGCAATTGTGACGAAATGAATTGAAATAAAACTGTTGAGCAATTCGACGAAACTGATTAACTGATTAATGTTTTCAATGAAAAAGCAAACAAATAAATGAAACCCGATAAAAACAATTCAGTGAAGGGAAACCATATCAATCATTTTTCAAGAAATATATCGTTATTCTGAAGACTATTCGCCGACGAACGATCCAATCAGCGATTAATTATTATTATTAAACATTTTCAGATGTGAATTTTGAAATGTTTCTTTTGAAGAAATTAACGAGACAAAAAATGAATTCAATGGGATGAAACACGCGTATTCATGCGCGATACATATCTTTATAGTTTGGCATTGTTTACGTTCATTATACTAATAACGTTAATAATAACAATAATGATATTAATAATAGCAGTAATAATCTCCATAATGAACCAAAATTTGCAAAAAATCAGTTCCGTGCAACACTCTTTCATACGCAACTCCCACAAATCACTACACACAATGATGCAATACGAATCATAAATAACGAATCGAATCATATTATTGATTCGATTCGAATCCACCTACGGACGTTTCAACCATACCGCAAGTATCACTCCAAGTGGTAGTGAACAACAGAACAGCAAGAATGAGAAACGTATCGGCGGTTTGAAAATCGACTCCACCAACGACAAAATTCTACTCAATATCCCCTGAAAATCAACAATGAACACTTTCAATTAAAATCAAAATTAAAACCAAATTTGCACGACACGAAATATTGAATAACTTCCTTCACATATAAATATATGTATTCGAAACCAACTACTTCAAAAAATCAAAATATAATTTTGCTGAACCAATACAATCCGCCAAAAGCGTTCATTACAATAACTAACCATTATTCGTATCAGCTGGGCTATGATTACTTGAACTGCTATTATTATTATTATTACTATTATTATTATCACCATTATTATTACTGTTTTCACTACTATTGTTATGATCATCACTCCCACTGTCGTTTCGTTCACTCGGTGAGCCAGCATCCTCATCCTCATCCTCATTATCATTTGTGGTGTCATGCTCTGATAGTAATTCCGCATCAGAAACTTCTGGTGACGAGATCACATACATTGCTCGGCCCTGCAATTCATCTACTCCTTAACTTTTTTCTTCATTTCCTTCAGCTCACTCTACTTTTCATTTACTCACAATCCAAAAATAACACCCAACTACATGCAGGGCCGGCAAGATCTAATTTTNCGCGCAATAAATTACTCGATAAATTACTAACAAATAATAAATAAACAAATGCAAAACTGAAAAAAAAATGAAATCAACGAAACGAAAACAATCAATGAAAGAAAATCACCCTGCGTCTAGACGGTGATCTATAGAATCCAAGTGCAATAAACCGATCGCTATCATTATCATTGTCCTCGTCGTTGTCCTCCTCGTCATTATCAGCGTTATCCGTAACACCACCCCCACCCCCGCCACGATAATCACCGAAAATATCCTCGTATCGATCGCTGTCTCCGTTCTCATCCAAATCTTCCATATCCTCATCACCACCATTCTAAAATAACTTATCATATCAACAATCAACAACAATTTCTATGAGGAAAATTTTAAAAAAGATATCGTAAACATAATATCGTAAACAAATGAACTCGAATGAATAATAAAACACAAATGAGAATAAATCAATGAATAAATAAAATGACGCACCGTTGTAAGAAGATCGAAGAAAGCGAGCATATTCAGATCTTCTTCGATACTGTCATCGTTTCGTGGATCACCAAACAACGGTCTTGACAACATCGAACGTCGCGTTGGATTCGCATAATATCCTTGCAATTCCAATCCACTCCATAACTTCAATTTCATTCATCCTTATTCACAGATGCATTCACCTAACAAACTATTTGTTAAAATAATTTCACGATCGCTAACCTTAATGATCTTTTCAACACCCGATGAGAAGAGCATACGATTACTCGGACTATATCGAGCATGATTCACGATCGAACGGTGTCCCTTCAACACTCGATATGCTTCATCAACTTTTTTCGTNTTCGAATGCGTTTCACCAGGAGTCCTGTCTTGAGGTAATTTCCACACATAAATGTTCCAATCATCAGAACCCGTCATCATTAACTCATTTGTGATAAACGAACACGATTTGACCGTACATGAATTCATATAGCCACTGTCACTGAATTCAACACTTGTGCCATCGTTTATCTTAATTCATCGCCTAATTACTTCCTTCCTTCATTCATCACCTACCTCTTCAATTGTTAACTCTCAAGAGGTTCAACTTCCCCATACTATACGCTCAAGCTCAAGCTCAATTCCACGCCTCACCATAACTACTTTTTAACTTAAGTTACAGATCTTTAAACTTTGCATAACCTTCACCATTCTTCGAAACTTCAAACTTTGAAGTCTCGTCAATACATCACCTAATTCATACCTATCACCTCAAATAAATTGAAGATTAAATTTTTCAAAAATTTCCAGCGAACATTATAATAGATCGGTGACGATTGACTCCTAGTAGCAAAAATACCCTCGCCATCGTCACTCCACTGACCATACATCACGATGTGTCGACTACGACCCGATGACGACGACTCACCCAGTACAAAACACGGTCTAAATTATATCACCTCTGATACTTTCTGCCGAAAACAATCTTATGATGTACTCCGATCATATCACATCAACTGAACAACTGAACATAAAAACATTCTTCGTACAGCTCAAAAAGTGAATATAATCACGAAATTATTCACTATCATCATTATTATAATCCTAATAATTCTTGCTCAATGAAGAATAGTCACAACATAAAATCTGTTGCATTCTATTGCATCACTACAAACACTCAAACGTAAATAATTCAACTGTAAGATCTCGAGGCATCAGCGCAACAAAATTCAAGCGGAAGAATAAATGCAAAATGAAACGAACTTCTCAATTTTACGACAGTCATACAACGAGAGGCCATCATCACCGTTGCATACCGATATCAAATTCGCTTGTCTCGGATTGAATTGAGCACAGTACATTGTTCCTTGAATGAATAAATTCACCATTGATCAATACCTTTCAAATGCTAACAAATCTAAGATCACCTTGAAACCTTAGGAAAAAGTTCATGAACCAACATTCCGTTTTAATGAAAACTGTGCATTTGTTGTATTTATTAAACTTCACTTTACAAATTTTAGTTCACTTACTAAAACCTCAGTTCCATTACGATCAAGTATCACAAGCGATACAAATAGCACCAATGAAATACCTTGACAACGAACTGCGATCGTCTCTTCGGCCGCTCTCAAATCATACAATCGAACTTTGCCATCTTCAGATGCTGACATTATAACCGTATCGTCGATTGGCTTAAATTCATTTCCTATCATTATTATTGTTTTGCAATTGAACATTGAAAATTTCCACGAATAAGATCAGAATATACGATGTGGCAGTTTAGCAGGTTTAAGAGTTTTGAAAAGAATTTTCTAAAAAAGATATAAGGCAGAACATACATTTGTTGCGACATTATAAATGGCCTCATCTGCTTTAAACCTTTGCAACATCGCAAGTGTGTTGATATCATGAACCAATAAGCACGTATCATTGCCTGCTGAATATAACCTCTCGCATCTGTAAAATACTCTAATCAGACACCAATCTAATCGAATATCTCAACAATTTGACAAATGTGAATGACATTTAAAAATATGAATGCTTCAGAGTGCAGGAATGAAGACCGACGATTGAATGGAAGAAATAGAAATACGGTATAAACTTTCGAGTCGAATATTTCAAGAACTATAATATCTATTCCTAATATGGAAATAGGTTTTTCTAAGAAGACTGAACAGCTCAATTTACGAGATATCGATTCAAAAATGATTATAAATCGAAATGAAAGAATAATATGTGAATCGAAANACGAACCACTTGCGAGAAAATTCTCATCGACTGACGCCTCAATCGCATTGACACAACCGAAATGTCCTTTGATGTCCTTCTGATAAATCGGTGATTCTGATGTGGGCAGGAATGGGAACATTAGTGAGGGATGTTCAGCAATACCGAGTTCACGTTTCCTCAGATCATTACCCATCCAAATATCACCGCCTCGATCTGTGCCATCCAAATAATCATTTTCGACACTATCCGATCGTGTGGTTGTTGATCGTTTGCGTATTTTCATCTTGTTTCGGCCCGGATTTTGCAATGTGCCAATCGAATTTGGCCGTCAGAGAAGAGAAATCGTCCACACCCGTTAGACACCTTCTGAAATCTACAAATTTGAAACATTTTCCTTTGAATTTACGAACACTCAATTGAGATTTTACGACAGAATATCATTAACACAGCACGGCGAATAGTTAACTCTGCTTCTGCTCTGATGTGCCGTGTTCAATGGAATTCTGGAAGCTTCAGATGGAATTTTTATCGTGCCACTAATCACAAATCACTAAAACAGTTGAGTAAGGTTGATCGTGAGTTCAACGGGGCATTGACCACCCCACCCAGTGATCACCAGCGGATAAACGTGATTCACACGTATCCACCACCATTTGATCAATAGCTCATAATTCTGAATCAGCTGATTGTTGCAGTGACTGTCAGAACAGTGCTATTAGGAAGCATTGCTAAAAAAAACGCTCGTGATATGGAGATGAGTGTTTCTAGTATTTGGACAAGTCTTACGGTTAAGTTGAAGTAATTGGTCAACAGAAACGATTCGATTTGTGATCATCAATAAGCTGCTCAATTTGATCGAAACGTTCTTAGCATATGACTTAGCATATGAAGGAAGAAACGAAGTTGAGCTGAAACAACTCTAGACTCGCTTCTCATAATGCATATGCAATTGGTTCACGGCCACTGTTGAACTTTTCATGTTGTCGATTACCAGCTACAAGGAAACTCAGTGTGGCAACTCAGCGAGAACGGATAAGTTTTGACGTCGTCCATGGATTTTACAGACAGATTTGCCGGGATTTGGAGGATCTCCACTGAAATTAAGAACTTTTGGTTNNTTCCATTATCCCCTTGTGCAATGCAGTTATTTGACTACCGTTTCACTTCCTTCAATTGATTTCGGCATCGAATTGCAACCGAATCAGCAGATTTCAGTTCGGCGGCTCGAAAATGGCTGAGGCAAGCCCGATATCATCACCGTCAACAGATGACGGTAGTGGCGGCAGTGTGGAATCACAGCAACATCATTTAGTCGAGTCGTTAGTGACTCAGATTGATCCAGATACCATCAATAGGATTATTGGATTGCAGAAGAAATCGTTAGGGTTTTCGTTCATTCGTTTAAGTCACCAAATTACACTTTTGCAAAGATTTCTTACTCACAATCAGTTTATTTTGTTTGTTATGATTGAGGTGATGAGGAATAATTTTTGAAAAAAATTGCCGATTGATCCAGATTGATTCGATTTGAAAAGACCAATGAAATGCTATCAAATTGTTGTATTCTATCGGCGAAACGCCTGGAAAAAGCCAAAAAAGAGCTGAACGACAGTAAGGACTTGATCGTACAAATGAAGTTGGATCTCGAGTCTGTCTTCCGACGTATTCGTATATTCAAAAAGAATCTTATCGTACGATATCCCGAGGTTTCCAAGCAGTTCGGTTCGTTCCTTTTTGAAACATTTTCCCAAATTCCGTTTTTTATTCTAGTTGTGATTCTCACAGTCGGTTGCATTTCTTATTACATTCAGAACCTCTTCCGATCTAATTCACGAAATTTTATTCGGCGGAAATATTCGTTTACGTTGTATCGAACGCACTTGACCACCTCCTCGCAATGAATGAAATTCATACTAGTGTAATCATCACGTCCATATACAAATATTTCTGATAAATCAAATAATCAGAATCAGTTTATTAGGTTCTGTCAGCTCTTTGATATTTCTATTTGTAGAGATAACATTAAACGATGAAGACGATGAATAAAATGGTTCATATACGAGCAAGATGGATTGTTCATATCGTAAACATTTGATCAGTAAGCAGATCAGTAACCGCCTTGTTCAATATGAACTGATCAGTGTGATTTCAATGAGTCTGCCCTTGGCTAAATGCATCTATGACAGCAGGGTCCAGTTTTCGCTCACATACTGTGTATGTTTTAATGAGAGGTGATGAGAATAATCACTTTTGTATTCGCTGTTCAATCGGTAAAAAGGTTGTGTTGTACATAGTTCAATTTCAATTGTGTAATATACGATAATATTCGTGAATTTAATTCGACATGAAGAAATTATTCACAGAATGAATTTTGCGTCTCGCATTAAATACATTAACATTTCAACGATGAGAATAACTGTGCACTGAAGATAAATTAAATTTGATATCTATCGTCGATTATATTGCATGTTCATATTGTTTCCGAAGACTGGCGAGAAGTCATACGGTTTTCATTTGGGTAGTGGATTCTGATGAGAACTCTGCTGGGGATATTCAATTACAGTCTTGTAGCTAACCACTGATTGAGAGAATGTTTGTTTAGGAACGTGAGAATCAATTGAGATGAGCTGAACATATACTGAACTG